CTGGGGACTGGAGGGTGGGCACACCTGTGCACCTGGGGACTGGAGGGTGGGCACACCTGTGCACCTGGGGACTGGAGGGTGGGCACACCTGTGCATCTGCTATACCTCAGAGCGTACACCTGCTACGCTCTGTGCTCTGGTGTAGTGAAGAGCTGCAGACAGGAGTGGGAATCCAGGACTCCCAGATTTTGGAGACAGGAAAGCCTGCGGATCTAGTGAAAGGTGCCTCTTGGGCTGGGAAGGCGGGACTCGGGCCGAGGAGAAGAAGGAGGGTGTGACAGGATGCGAAACGAACAGAGAAGAAGAAACGGGAAGCGAGGCATCACTCACTGGGAAGGATGAGTCTCAGGTACCCGGTGTAGAAGGACCAGGCCAGCCCGTGCCCCACGTTCATCTTCCTCTGCTCAACAATTTCAGACACCTCCACTGCGGCAGGGTCCTGAAAGCACAGGGAGTGGAGGGTCCACACACAGACCTCAGCCATGCTGTTACTTCATGTGCCCAACTGCCCCCACTGCCCAGCACTGCCCCCCAGTGGCCTCACTGCCCCATACTGCCCCTCAGTGGCCCTCACTGCCCCATACTGCCTCATACTGCCCCATACTGCCCCTCAGTGGCCTAACTGCCCCATACTGCCCGTCACTGCCCAGCACTGCCCCTCAGTGGTCCTCACAGCCCCATACTGCCCCTCAGGGGCCCTCACAGCCCCATACTGCCCCTCAGTGGCCCTCAGTGGCCCATACTGCCTCATACTGCCCCATACTGCCCCTCAGTGGCCTAACTGCCCCATACTGCCCCTCACTGCCCAGCACTGCCCCTCAGTGGTCCTCACAGCCCCATACTGCCCCTCAGGGGCCCTCACAGCCCCATACTGCCCCTCAGGGGCCCTCACTGCCCTATACTGCCCCACTTTAGAGCATGATGTGGCCCCAGTGCAGCACAGTAACATTCCTGCTTTTAAACATCACAGAAACCAGCAGCACTTTCTTTACGTCATGAACTTTGTCCCTCAGCAGCAGCTGAACAGTGGCCAACAGTGGCCATACCGTCTTCGTCCCTCAGGAAGGAGAGGGTGCTGGAAGTCGAGGGTCCCTCCGGGTTGAGGCGAAATCAGACAGCTCAGTGAAACGGCCTTCACATGATAGACTGAGTCAGTCCTTTTGTGTCATCAACCGCAGGCCAGACAGAGCACGGATTCCTGAAAGCCTTGCTAATACACTGAAGCACAGGGCTCATGTCTCCTGTTTTATTCTAATCTAAGAAGGGAAATAATTTGTCAAACATGTGCTGTGTCCAAGTACAGGGTGTGCGGTTTGCTGAAGCACGAGAGCCCACAGCAGGCCGCTGAGACTGGAGCCGCTCGTGTCAGGAAACCACACCAGGCCCTTGCGAAACCTGGGACTTCCCACAGCCAGCGACAATGGGGATGTCAGCAACTTTCCAGAGCAGCTCCTACTCCTACCAGCCAAACGTCACGCTGTGTGTCAACGTGGGCGAAACGGGACCCACATCCAGGACGATAAGTCCTGCTTCCCACAGTCGAGAGCCAGGGACAGTTTCGTCAGCTTCACTCACAAAAAAGCCCTCTTTTTCCCCTGTCACACAGAGCCAAGGAAGGAGGGCCTGTGTTTCCTCGAGAACATGGCGAACCCAGAGGGGCGCCCCCAGATCACTCCAGTGGGGTTAAAGGTCATCATCTGCGGCCAGGTGGGGGGGCATTAAGAGATGTCTGCAGCCCAATGGCCAAACTGGAAACCAGAAGCTGAGTGACACTCAGGAACCCAGCTGAACATCCTGACTGGCCCAACAAAGTCCTTATTGAAGCGTATCGAAAAAGTTCAAGTCCAGTTCAGTTGCCTTCAATCTGAAATCTAGAGCAAGATGTGGATCAAACTGCAGATGATAGTGGCAAGAAGCCTCTTCTTTCTGGCACATTGAGGCCCTTTATAAGCACTGGACTGTGATCTGTGACTGGCAGGTGACTTTAAGGTTTAACTGGGTCGAGACTGAGAACTCTGTAGGCCTAGGAGACTTGGATATGACCACTCACTAAAAGCAGGATTACAGAAACCCCTCCTCCTACAGAATTACTCAGAAAACCCTCAAGAGAATACAAAACTAAGAATGACATGTCGAGAAAACAAAATCAGACTTCCTTTGGAGGACTCTCTGGAGAACTGAAACTTCCTGGTTTCTGGCAAGCTGTGACTTACACATAACCCCATGGCACTGAAGAGGAGGGAGCAGATACAGGCCATACACACGGAGAGCCAGTCCTCAGGCTCCAGCTGGTTAAAGACACACACCACAGCCAGGCAGAGAAAATGACCCCGGTGAAAGCAGGCTTTCAGCATCTTCATCAGGTTGCCTCGGTACCTGCAGAAAAAGCACAAGGACTGGATTCAGGTGCCACTTTGGGTACCAAACCAGGAGTGGAGGCTACATAACTGTGATCATTAGATCCTGGCTGAAAAATGATTTAGCCAATGTGAAAGGCAAACCCTTTCAAAAGCAGATTAGTTTAAAATCTACTGACTTTGTTTTAACACATACTATAAAATACGTAATATAAGTAATAGGTTTATTCCATGCTGAAAAGAGAAGAAGGAAAACAACGTTTCAGCTGTGAAGCCTTCTTTAGGTGTGAGGGTTTGAGGGAAAGTGCTCCGTCCTCATGCAGGTCAGATTAATAAACTCTGTAAGAGTCTTTTGGTCAATGTGGAATATTTCTGTTAAAATACAGATGATTAAATTATCTAAGTGATTTCATTTGAACCTGTGCTAATTATCATGAACACTGCTTTGGTCATTAGTACAGTGTCTTCCTGCATGTTTGCCTTCCCTGTAGCCCACTGACAGCTGCCAAAACACAGGGGAACAAAGTCCATTTCTCAAACCTTCATATACAGGCAACCAAGCTGGGGGGTACGAACACTTTTAAACTCAGTTGCCTCCCCATCTGTCAGAGTATTTTCATTGCAGCAAACCTCTATACTACTTCATGGAAAAAATGATCTGCTTCAGGGGTCCAAACCTGACTGTTCAAAGAGTTTAGAAACAGTGGCTCGGCCCTGCAGCCCCTGGGCTGGTCCCTAGCGCCACTGCCTATCCTTACGGCATCTTCCTGCTTTGAAATGTGGCACCGATCCACTTGATTCAACCCTTGTTGTTCCCTGGGGGAGCTGTTTTCCAGTGCAACGATAACGCGCCTCGCCACCAAAGGGTCCAGGACAAACATCAGGAATATCAGGAAATGAAAAACGGCTTTAGCAGTGAACTTGCAGAGGGGTACAGCGTTTCCGGCGCTCCCTGGGGCAAAGAGGTGTCTCCCAGATGGGAGCAGCGCCCAGACCCCTGTGGCCCCGCCCTGCGAGCGAGCGAGCGAGCACCACGTCAGGGCGGCCCTACCTGGAGAAGGAGTGATTGACGAGCTCCTCCACGAGCAGGCACGCTCCTCTCAGGATGCTGCCTGTGGACAGGGCCAGGCAGCCCACGGCCGTGTACCTCAGCAGCAGCAGGGAGCCCCTCCACACCGCCGCCCAGAGCAGCAGGGCGCAGCACAGCGCCACTGCCGTCAGCGCCGAGAGTTTCCCGCGCGGCCGCGGGACCACGGAGCGCCTCCCGCTGGGCTGCTGGGGGTCCGGCATCTGCAAGAAATGGGTCAGTTTGGTCTATGCATCCCGGAGGACCCCAGAGCTCTTCACACGCCGGAGGGGAGCCACTCCATCCCCCGCTGGACATGACGCAACGCCAGTCTGGACCAGCAGCCCCACCGCGCAGCAGCTCAGAGGGCTGAGAGCGTTCCTCGTCGGTGGGACTGTCTGTTTAAGCACAACTAAACACAGGAACCTCATGGCAGAGCTTTTTGTTAATTCCTAACACCCAGCTCTCATAAATGCACACGACAGGTAACAAATGAGAGCAGGAAGTTTGATTGTAGTAAATTATTCGAAGGATCTCAACCAGTCACTTCCTGAAAGAAAATGGGGTTTCAGCTCGAAGCAACATGTCTGGGTGTGTTCGTTTCAAAAGCACGAGTTCGTGCTTCACTGTTCTCACTGTTTCTGTCTGGGTTATAAGCCTCAATTTCTCTTAGTATAATTAAAAACATTTTCACAAAATATATGAGAGAAAGGTCATTTTAAAGAGAATTACAGAGAGGGGTGAGACGCTGGACAGAGGCTGTGCGTGAGAGGACCTGCCCGGACGCTCACCTGCCTGTTCCTGCAGGCTCTGATGTTGTTTGAGCTCACCTGCTGAAAAGACAAGGACAAACATGTCTGAGCTGCACCTACTGCAGTTCACTACAGGCAAGACATGGGGACACCGCGGGTCAAGCAACAACCATTCGTTCCAGAGACAAGCCACAGTGCCCTGGGCAGAGAGTCACACCTGCCTCTCTGCTCCTCCCTGATCCCTGAACAGCGAGGTAGGGAGGAATCATCCCTAATTTCCCTAAGGAGAATTAACAGAAGACATATTTCTCAGCCTGTTCCAGACGGTGGCTATGACAATGTAGCAATCTGCCCCCCAGGGACGGACTGTCCCCATGATCCCCTCCACTTTTACCCCAGGCTCAACCTTTAACTGCCCCTTACCCCTATAAAGGGCTGGAATCCCCTCTCTCTCTCTCCCCACGCTCTGTGTCCAGCAGATACCTCCTATTTCTCTGTCTTCCCAGCCTTTTCCCTGCTTCATTCTCAGCGCTGCTTGTTTTGGTGAAAAGGACAGCAAGCGAGCCTAGAGTTATCTCCAGCCTGCGCCTCAGAGCCGGCAGCGCAGTTCACATCGACTCAGCCTGCAGAGAGGCCCGTGGATTCCTTTTAAAATCTACAGTATGGTCATATCGCACCTTAAAGGTAAGTCACCTCCTCTGCTAATGCACTGTGACTTACACATACAGTGTATTACACATACACTGTGAAACTGACTGGGAACATGGAGCGCCCCCTACTGGACAGCCAACGCCACTTCCGTCAGCTGAATGATTCGTTTCAAGAGGATTCTCATCCAGTTCCCTACTGATAAGGTTTTGAAGGTTCTGGGAGCTGACTGGATCAGGCCTCCAGATTATGGATCTGATGTATAAATTAGGCACCGGCAGACTTCATTAAATCCAGGTTTCCAGAAAGAGTGTGATGCGCGACATTCCAAACCTGTGAGCAAACTTTCCACTACACCGCGCCTAACAGTGGAAGCAGAACGCTTCCCATTCACGTGTTAGCAGGTTCGCTAAAGTTCGTTTCGCAGCGATAAACCAGTCGACAAGATGCGCAATACAAATAAGTTTAGTGTCGCTCCATTCTGTGACGTTCTAGGACTAGGTGAAAGGACTTGGATTGAAGATGTGAACGCCATTTTGCACCAGACGATCAAAACGCCGTTCTCCGGAAAGTCCGGAAAACATCTTTCTTGGCGTAGCCTACTACACAGGTACAGCACGTTCTGCATATCCGCCTGTTGTAACCAGCGATACATACTACTGTACATCTGTCCAAATGAGGATGCATCAAGGACGCGATATGCAGCGTGCAGATTTTAGCAGAAGAAAACTGCTAAACCTCGGGACGCACGGGGTTCGCTTACCTTAGCGACGTGGATGTAGGGTATTTTGGGCTTCTACCCCCAAGTTTCAGATTCCTGCAGGCGAAGGGGGGTGGGTGTGACCACGTGTTCCTGCTTCCCAGAGCACAAAACGCTTGGCGTCCACGATAAATGTCACCCCTCAGGAGCTTAGACAGGCTCGACTTCGCTGGGTGATCAGAGCAGCCAGAAACCACCAGGGCACCGAACTAGAATGTTGCTCACTGAGACCCAGAACAAAAGACGCTGAACACGACTTTACTTTCGCTTTTGTCCGTGTGTGTCGTACATACAGTACTCTTACGGCCTTACAATAATTGCGTAGACTCTTTCTGTTCTAATGCTCCGGTTTCCGATATTCAGGAACATATTCCGTGAAACTTAAAAAAATGATGTTTGTCTTTTGGGGAAAAAAAACAAAAGAAGTTTGTTATTTTCATGCACTTTTGTCCCCAAACAAAAAAATGACATGTCCGGTTTGAACAGGTGGGCTGTGGAATCTCCCCCACGGACGTCAGATGTACAGTGTGTAAGACCTGCTGCTTGAAGCGCTGTTTCAAACGCAGAGAACAGGCAAGTATTACGAAACTGCACTCTCAGCGAGTCGATACCATGAAAAGGAAGGGATGCTTCCTGGAAGCGTACGGCGGTGTTTCAACATCTCCTGTGGTGTTTTTGGGGTGCGTACATTATAGTTAACACTAGGTGACAGTATTGTCAAACAAATAAGTCTTCCTGCTGCAAATTGGTACCCATCTGTGCATTGGCATAAAACCCTGGAGAGGAAATGTGAGGCATCAGCACTGTCCCAATGCAAATCAGAGTAAGGAAGGAAGAGTCATCACTAGTTAACACTATGTTTAGTCATGATCGGGATCCCTCCTCCTAAGGGCGCTCCAGATCTTTCACATTTCAGTTGATTATGTGCACCTGCCCCCAGTCCTGCCCCTCCTTATTCAAGCCAGATGCTCTTACTACCCCTCGCTCAGCACTGGGAGATAGACGCCCGGAAGTTCGCCTACCAGCGGGTCCAGGAGAGACCCGACGGCATCGGCTTCCTCACGGCTTCCTGACCGTCCGAGTCCGGGGCTCGGAGCGCCTGGCCTCGCTACTCTCTTTTAACTCCTTGTTCCTGTTCCGGATCCCGTTCCGGATTTTGACTGTTTGTTTTGTCCTGGATGGATCCCCGGTTTTGGACTTTAGACTACACCCAGATTCCTTTTTGGACTGTTTGGATCTGTTTGCCCTTCGCCACGCCCCCCCCCCCCCGAGCACCGGATCACCGTTGTCACGCCCCCCAGTCTGTCCTGCTGTACCTCCCCCGAATGTCCTTCTCCACTTGCTTCCAGATTATACCGTCAGCATAGGGTCCTGAACTACGCTTCACGGGAGCCTGGACCTGCTCCTGTTACATGTTTAGAAAAACACCAGAATGGCAGACTCTGTTATAGACAGCCAGACTGCCATCACAAACAGAGACTTGGAAAGTGAGAAATGTACAGTATGGTGTGTTTAGAGTGGAAAAAGACATTTGTACTTGTATACACATTTTACAGTATGGCACGCATACATAAACGTCCTCTTCTTCAGACTTTAATAAAAGTTTACACACTAGACAAGGCAATTTGGCCTGTCTTCCCTGTTGGATTGCTGTCTGTTTAAAGACCCAGGAGTCCCAACGGGATCCCCAGTGAGCCTCTCCGCGATTGCTGGAGCTGCAAATGTAATTTAACTTGTGCCTAGCTGGAAAAAAATAGGCTTTTCCTGCAAGAAATACATGATTAATCCCACACTCTATCCAGTATATTTACCATGGGACCACTTACTGGTATTTGGTGCTTTGCAGTTCGTGTTTCATGGAAGAAATGACGGCTTAATGGAAGTAACAAGCAATACTACTATCTTACTGAATCAAAGCACACAGTGACTGCAGATGGGTGCCTTTAAAATAGGACCCCAAGAAAAACAGCTGCTATTAACCAGTGCTTTTTATTTACAGTGCAGGAAAAAAAAATCTTGTAATTAAGCAAATGATGAGTTCAGTGAGGTAAACAAGGGTTCAGGTAGAAAGAACCCCAGAAATCCTCTGACCCTGTAGGACCCCTGTGTAAGAGGCCCCAGCTCAGTTCAGCCCTGTGGTCAAAGTGGGCAGTGTCCACATGAAGTTAAAGCACAAAAGGGAGATACACGAGCCAAAGTCAGGAGGAAGCAGGAAGGTGCGTAACATACAGTAGGTAAATCACAGTTCAAGGCACCAAGGAAAGATCCGAGAGACAAAGACAAAACACTGCAGGGGTGAGAACCCAAACAGAGTGCAAGAGAGGGAACTTGGAACACAGTGAGGTAGGAACTAGAGAGGCTCAGCGTTATCGTTATAACAGAGCACAGAACACTGCTCGGACAGACCCTCCTGCTTCAGTTGGAGACAAGGCAGAAGGTGATTACCCACAGGTGAAGCAGGCTTCCTGTCTGACTGTGTTTCCACAGCAACCGGCCTGACTGACAGGTGGGAGGGGCGTGGCCAGCTGCTGCAGGAGAACTGCCCTACTCTGCAGTGCCCCCGTGAGGACAGGCATGACGGTAATCAATTTGTGGAGTACTGCAGACAGTGGGAATATTTTGTGTCAAACAATTAAATAATCTTGTTGATTCAGCAGAGGTTCTCTGGCCTAAATGTTAGACACCTTGTTAATGAAAGTCTGTTTTGGTGATGGTAATAAACCCATAGGTGCCTATTTCAGCAGCAGATTTCCAGGCTGGAAGGAGTTACTATCTCCTCCATCACCTCCTCCTCCCACTGTTTCCTAAAGAACTCTGGGGACTCATAGAAGCAAAGTCCATCCCCATGTAATGTTCGTAAGAGCAAGTTCACCCACAGAGGAGCACGGAGTCACTGAGGCAGCAAAGAGGGAGGAAAGTGCAAAGAGCAGCTCAACGCCAGCTGGGGCTCGGGTTGCTAAAGCTTGCCTGCCCTCTCGCGTTCCTGTGAGGAACAAGCAGGTTTGCCCCTTAGTGCTCTGCATGATGTGCTGCAGATGATCAGACTGTAATGACCGGTTGTTGTGCTGTACCCTCTCAAACCCCTAGCAATAATAATCTTAGGAGAACTGAGCTTCAGTAGTTTTCCATACAGTTGCAAAAGCTCATATTGGGTTAAATGAACTGTGGTGAAACCTTCCCGAGCTAGTCATCAGAAATGCTACAGTATACTGTACACAGTTTACCCCCCAGAGCCGCTGAGCTTTGTGGTCCACTGATAAAAAAAAAGTAATTTTCATTAATTTATTTTCCAATGCAATTTATTTAAATTGCATTTAACACAACATGTTGTATATTAAAATAAATACAACGTTGAAAAAAGTCCATAAACACAAATGATTCATGCATATTTTATTCAAGAGTAAAAAAAGGTATCCTCCCATAGGGCATGCGCACAATGTCTGTGTTTAAGAATCATATGCGAAAATGTAGTTCCAGAGAAAAATACAAGAAAATTGTCACAAGTTAAATTCCATGAAATTCCTTTAAAAGTAAACCACGTCAGGACAAAACAAGGCTCATAAAATAGTGGAAGAAAATGAACAGTAAGCTCAATAATAAGAGTAAGAATATTAAGAATGATAATATTTTTTCCTTTTAAAAGTGAGACACACACAGGAGTGTGCCTAATTTGTTTTACATTTTAATAAACCATGCTATCATGCATTGGCAGCCAGACTGTTGCTTTTCACTGAATAATATGTTCATTCACACTATTGAACAACTTCTGTACATGAACAGAACGGAAAAAAAGTCCAAAGTAACATTTTGAAAAGAACGTCAGTGCCTGTACAGCCAAAAAAAAAAGGAAAAAAAAAAGAAAAAGAAAATGATAAAAAATAAGAATAAAAAACAAAAATATAATTTTACAAATATAATATAAAGCAGAAATAATTCAGACCTACTATATTGAAACACAGCACAAATATAATTTCACGTGTCAATAAAGAACTTAATCGCATGCATAGATGCGTTCTATAGATGCTGTACAAATTATTGTCTATTTTTATTTTACTGCAATGGTAAATCAGTTTGCAAAACATACTGTGTACATTTGTAATTACAGGCAAGTGAGAAACGATCAGGTATATTGTGACAAGGTAGCAACAAAAGTCAAATTGCATTATTTACTTATTCAGAGCAACGTGGTCGACAGTGGCTTATTAAAAGAATGATTAACCTAGCACACAGAATGAATCAGGGGCCAATGTCCTCTTACAAAAACTGAATTTCAGGTAAGATTGCATTGCAAATATCTTGAAATTGTACACATTTTATAAGACTTACATTTTTTTAATATTCTCTTTATTAATACTAGTAGCAAAACATTTTCAACAGCAAGATCTTTTTTTTTTCTTATAAGATGTTTTACGAACGAAACCTTTAATGAAGTTTGAAAACGTGCGGTGCCGGTACCGATGGTGCGCCTTCCCGAAGCGTCGCTACGCCGTGATTGGCTCGAGTACCCGGAAGGGCGGAGCCCCCCGGGCTCTCGCGGGCAGGAAACAGGAAGTGGCGGACGCAGTCTCGGGCGCGCTCCTGACCGGGGCTCGAGCCCCCAGAGAGGTCGCTTGCTTGTCTGTTTGCTTGTCGTCGGCTTGCGGGGCTCTAATTCAGGGCGGCGTGGTTTGTGTTTCTAATGATCGATTCAAGCAGGTTTGTCTGTTGGAAACCAGGGGCGGGGGGAGGGGCGAGGATCTCCGTGACGCTCCGCCGGGGATGTGTGTGGGAGTCTTAACGCCGGGGGATCACTGAATATTGCTGTTATCGTCCGTGCCGTTGGACTCCGACATGTTCATCTTGCCCATGGAGTGGCCCACGTTGTTCACGGCGTCCTTGCGCGGCGGCATCCGCTCGTTGATGCGGTCCAACCCCTTCGCCTCCTCGAAGCTGCTGATCTTGTGCTGCGGCGAGAATCCGCGGATCGCTGCCGGGAAGGGAGACGGGTTAGAAACGGGTCGCAGCCCTGGAGGGGGGCATCTCCAGAGATCACTCCCGGGGGGGCAAAGTAACCACAGCACAAGCTAGAGTGAGGGTGCGCATCCTGTAACCTCTGTCACAGCAGGAAACCGGGAGAGGACTGGGGACTCAGTTGTAACCTCAAATTTCTGACTACTCTGACTTTATCTGTGCTCTTCTCCTACACAGCCTCCTTACTCTCCTGAATTCCAAACGTCTCTTCCACATTGTACCCAGGTTTTCAAAAACTTGGGTTGTTTTTTATTTTTTTTTTAATTATTATAAAGTCGGAGATGGCATGTGTCTAAGATATGATCGTCCTTTATGGAAAGAGCTAATTTGGAGGACAGGATTAAACAGGGATCAACAGATGGCATGTTTCTCTCCTGGTCCAAGCAGTGGAGGATCCACAATAAGAGCCCTCTCTTCTTCTGCCCACAGGTTGATTTTGAAGAATCAAAAGGCAGACTGGAATCTTCCAGCACAGCCTGTCGAACTGGTAAATACAATATGATGTTGCTGTGCACCATACAGTAAAACAGATTTCATCTCATTGTGTGGTTTTCCACCGCACAAGCTAGAGACTGAGCTCAACAAATGGAATATCAGACAGGCATGATGCTCACCAAAGAACCTAAGGCAGTTTATTTTCATTTTGTCGAATTGTATTGTTAATTAATAGACTGTGGCGTTCATATGACTGTCTGCTGACTCCAGGGTGCAGTGTCTTTTCCACTACTGCGAGCACCACGAGCTGGTCCTGGGGCGTGGAGATACAGTACCAGGCCGAGGATTTTAAGAAGAAAGCAGATATTGAAGGTCATGTACTGCACAGTAAAAAAAAACACATTGACTTTGATGTTCTAAATGTGTGTTTGATTGCATGTGTAGGAGTTAACCACACCCTGGAAAACAGAGGCAGTGGAAAGGACGAACTCTCAGGCACAGGACAGCCTCTCTACACGAGAGCCCCTCACAGGCCACAGGCCGTGGGGAGAGGGTCGCTTAAGAAATGACTGATTGGGGCCTTCTGGTTCTTACCACTTTCAGCCTGCATTCAGAGTTAAACATTTGTACAAATACAGAGACCTTTAACAGGCCTTTAACACCTTTAACTGTGTTTAAAAAGGGAGGTTTTACCTTCTCCGTCTTCAACGGTCTCAATGGCTTCAATAGCCTCAATGGTGGCTGAGGAGAGCAAGAGGAACATGGAAAAACAGTAAGACAGATGCAGTCCAGGGCACCTCAGCTCATTCGGTCACTAGTAACTCAGCCGACCCAGGAACACAATCAGACTTCATGAAATAAACCTGCTCTCATCCTTCCTGCTTCCATCCTGCTGACTGCAGTGGAGCGGGTTACTGTCCAGTTTCCTTGGGGGGGACTCACGGCCCAGGAATCGGAGGCTCTGTCACTGTTTCTGGAGTATTTCCGTGTGAAGAGTTTTGGCTGAACCCTCTTGGTTAAGGCCCAGCCATTCAGAGAGTGGAGTTAGCCAAGGGGGAGCTACAAGCTGATGGGGCTGAGGAGGGAGGAGTGTGATGTAAAATGGGAGAAGAGGCGTGTGCAAGAGCTATTATTACAAGAGTAATAATTGCAATATAAAACAGGTGGATGAGATTGACTTGTCTGCTGTGATCTCTCCTGAAGTTCAGTTAAGATCTTCCAGCTTTAAAGTTGCTCGTTCAAACCCCCTGTAATCGTCTATGTTCAAGGCCAAATGCATTTAGTTCCTATGACCTATTTTCCTTTTACACTTTTTAGAAAAAGTTGGTGACACTGACAAATTGAAAAAAAATGAAAAAAAAGAACATGTGTTCTATAAAATGATTTCAAGTTGTTTTGTCAGTTAAAAGTAAACACTTTAACTCCTGGAGGCTACAATCCACCATCTTTTCTAAATAGGGATAGAAAAATGTTTTTGTGCCGAGAAAACTGGATAAATAAGATAGGCTTTTCAAAACAATTTTGTTATCCCACACGTTGTGAAGCAAAACACTTATTTGTACAGACCGCAGTGAAATGTTCACTGTGATGTACTCATGCCCTAAAAAAGTATAAAACAAAATTGCAAAATAGTCAGAACTAGACATTTTAAAACAAAAAGAGATTGTATTGTTAATGTTGAGAGATTTTTGTTATTAATTTTTAATGCATATTTTTCAAGTGGCAAAGGGATCCTAAAAATACATGAGACAATACCTGAATCCTGACTGGATGAGACAATACTTTCATTCTTTAAAAACAGGCAAGAGGAAACTGCATGGTGGGATTTGGTGAGATATGTTTTACCAGCATATGCAATGAAAAACATTTTGGTTTCGATGTCTGGGGGCGTCGGGGGGCGTGTTCAGTGTGGAGGCGGAGCCCTGGATTAAGGGTGACACGTTGCCCGAGAAACCGCAGCTGCCCTGGCCAATGAAGGACGAGGCCTTTTAAGACACACTGAGCACTTCCCTGGAGAGACAAGCAAGCAGAACTCCAGTCCTGCCGCCCCCGCAGGGGGAGAGGATTATAGCGCCAGTCCTGGAGGGGATTTAATTTTTTGTTTCTTATTGTTGTCTTTTTCTCCTCTCCTGTCCCGCTGTGAGAGTTCACTGGGGCAGGCCTTGCTTTCAGGCCTCGCTCCCCTATTTCTCCAGTCTGGACGCTGCTCAATAGGGACAGTCCGGTCTGGACGCCGCCGTTCCAAGTGGTGCATTTGTCTTTTTCCTTTCTTTCCCTCTCACACCGGGGCGTTGACTTTTACTGGTGTTCACCTTGGCTCCTCCCAAGACCCCGCACTGTACCCCACTAGCTACAACTTCACTAAGCTTATGAAGGCGTCTCCACATCACACGATGATGAATTCACACTCTGTTTATGCAGCGTCTGCATGCAGCTTGCCTTAAATGCAGAGACCAATTTCGGCAGTAACACCTGCTGTCAGTTCATCCTCATCAGACAGCAGGGATCTAATCAAAAAGGCTGAGCAGTCCTTGCATATTTTGAATTGGGAACTGGCTGTGTTTTTACACCCTCTCGATCGAGGGTATCCAGCTGTGCTGTGGAGTCAGTCAGTGTCATGCACTGCTCCTCGGACATCACAAGGGCCATTATTGCCTCTGCACAGCTCCAGCAGCTCTCAGGCCGGAGCGCAGGTTGTGCTGCCCACATCACAGGGCTCGGCCTGCACGCCGAGTCTGCACCCCCCGGGGCCCGACAGGTGGAATTGCCGGTTAAAAAGGAAATACGGAGATGCAGAGGAATGAAACTCGGAAGGCAGCTGTCCTCCCTCGATTCGCAGGGAAAAAGAACAGAGTGCCGAAGAAGGAAAAGCTCATTAGGTGATCTCAGACGCGAGTGATGGGGGAAGGTGAGGTGAGGACACTGGCAGGTGGGAGGCGGAGAGGAGGACAATACTCACCGCTTTGTAATGTCTGCTTGCCTCCAGAGAGGACTCCGCTGGGAAGCATTCCGGTAGGAGTCAGGCCCTTCAGTGTCAAAACGTTTTCACTCTCCTCTCTGTGGAGAGCCAAGCCAGACGACAATCTCGTTAACACCAGGTACAAATCAGACACGGAGCTTCGAGTCTCACTTTTACACTGAGAAATAGCCACAAGAATCTACTGAAAGAAAAGATGGCAATTTCACCTTTTTATGCCTAGAATACCTAGAATTTGCAACCTGGGTTATAACATATTTTGAACATAGATGTGTATATACCAGTGCGCCTCAGCTCTGGTTAGAGTACAGCGTGTTCTGTGGGTCTCTGGGGAAAGAGCTGCTACAACGATGCAGTAAAGAGAACGTCTGAATCGAAAGCTGGAAATCTGTTGCCCTAAAGGACTGTGTCCTGTGACAGGGTGTGAGACTGTGGTCCTTTTAAACACAGATGTGTTTCATCCTTCAGGGGGCCGAGCTGACAAAGCTGGAGTCTGGATTGATGGCTACGCTCTGTCAGGGCAGCTTCTGAGCTGGACAGACGCCCCAGGTGGCCATTCTCACTGGGACCTGGCTGATCGGGGACGGACCCCCAACAGAGGGACAGGTTTTTTCCCATGCTCTCACCTCAAGACTGAAAACATTTTGGCCATCTTTCCTATAGCTCTAATCTTGTTTCGAATGACCTCCTTCCGGGCAGCTGCAGCATTGGCTGTAAAAAACAAAGGAGATGATGGTCAAGAGGCATCTTAGCAGTCCACTTCAACAGGGCTTATTTACCATTATCAGCACAGTGTGGCTCTGGTTAGGAGCAGTTCTTGTGATTTTAACTGTGGTAAAGAAAC